TCTACTAAAAATACAAAACATTATGTGGGCATGGTGGCGCATGCCTGTAATCCCAGCTACTCAGGAGGTTGAGGCAGGAGAATTGCCTGAACCCAGGAGGTTGTGGTGAGCCGAGATCACGCCATTGCACTCCAGCCTGGGTAACAAGAGCGAAACTCCGTCTCAAAAAAAAAAAAAATCATACATCAGGAAGCTCGGAGGCTGCTGCTCAGACACTAGGCCTGAGCCCAGGACAGCCTGGCTCAGCCTGGCTCCAGCAGCAGCCCCTGCATGGCCACATTTGGAATGTGATGAATGAGATGGCCAAGAGGAGATACTGTGTCATCTGTGGAGCAGCCCCTGAGCCCTGCCTGCATGTCCTATGGTGAGAGAAGAAAAGGAAAGGGTGAGATGGGCATCCCACCACCTCGCCCGTATTATGGCCTGGGGCCCTGGAAAAGAAGGCAATGGCACCCACCTTCTGGCAGTGTGGGCAGGGGAAGTTGTGAGTGGTGGTCTGCAGGTGGTGCTCCAGGGCCTCAGGGGTGGAGTATTTGTTGACGCATTTGACACACCTAAGTGGAAGGAGCAGGAACGGTGAGGGAGGAAACATAGCAGGCACAGGAAGCAGCCCCCACCCACCACCCCAGGGCCAACACCCCACAGTTAATTCATTTCAAATCCATCACTCTTCTCGATTGCCACTGCCTGTCTTCATCTGAGTGCCATCGACTCTTGCTCGCACTTGGACAGTAGCCTCCTCACTGGCCACCCTGCCCCACCCTGCCTCCTGTAGTCCATTCTCCACAGGGCGGCCAGGGGCACCTTTAAAAATGAAAATCAGGCCAAGCATGGTGGCTCACACCTGCAATCCCAATGCTTTGGAAGGCCGAGGCAGGCAGATGACGAGGCAGGAGTTCGAGATCATCCTGGCCAACATGGTGAAACCCTGTCTCTACTAAAAATACAAAAATTAGCTGGGCGTGGTGACACGTGCCTGTAGTCCCAGCTACTTGCGAGGCTGAGGCAGGAGAATTGCTTGAACCTGGGAGATGCAGTTTGTAGTGAGCGGAGATCATGCTACTGCACTCTAGCCTGGGTGACAGAGTGAGACTCTGTCCCAAAAAAACAGAGAGAGATCATCAGAGTCTAAGAGAGTTGGTATCTGTGTGATCACCCAAATCTCATTGAACTATAATCCCCAGTCTGGAGGTGAGGTCTGGTGGGAGGTGATTGGATCATGGGGGTCGATTTCTCATGAATGGTTTAGGACTATCCCCTTGGTGCAGTCCTCAGGATAGCGAGTTCTCCTGAGATCTAGCTGTTTAAAAGTGCATGGCGCCTCCCTCTCCCTCTCTCTGGCTCCTGCTCTGGCCATGTGACATGTCTACTCCCCCTTCCCCTCCTACCATGAGTATAAGCCTCTTGAGGCCTCCCTAGAGGCAGATCTGCTAGCTCAGGCACTATGCTTCCTGTACAGCCTGCTGAACCCTGAGTCAAATAAATCTCTTTTCTTATAAATTACCCAGTCTCAGGTATTTCTTTATAGCAGTGAAAGAACGGCCTAACACAGAGTCAGAGAACACAACTGTGCCAAACAGCTCATAAACATGTCCTCACAACAGCAGTCTCAGGCCACAAACCACTCTGAAACCAGAAAAGACACCACCTTCTCCGCATCATGAAAACGTGCTAGTTAAGGAAGAAAGGGTATTATCAGACAAAAAGAAAAGAAAACATTTGCTGGCAAATTGACCTATTTGCAATGAGTTATCAGTGAGGAACGTCACAGGTAGGTGAACAATTCACACCAAAAACAGAAAGGCAGGCCGTGTGCTTCCTACACCAGTGCTGCTTGTGGGAAACCCCAGGGAGGCTGTGCCTGCGAAAGGCCTGGGGAGCCCCTCAGACTGCACTCTGAAACCACACACCAGCCAGGCGAGGGGGCTCACACCTGTAATCCCAGCACTTTGGGAAGGCAAGGCAGGAGGATCACTTGAGGCCAGGAATTCAAGAGCAGCCTAGGAAATATAGTGAGACCCTGTCTCCACAAAAAAAAAAAAAAAAAAAAAAAAAAAAAGTTAGCCAGGAGTGGTGGTGCATGCCTATAGTCCTAGCTACTGGGGAGGCTGAGGGAAGGGGACCACACCTGCAAATAGCTGACGCACTCTAGCCTGGACAACACAGTGAGACTCTGTTTCTAAAAAAAAGTAAAAATTGTACAGAAGGAGGAGCGTGATTAATAAAAAAATAATAATAATAAAAATAAGAAGAAGAAGAAAAAAAAAAAAAAGGAAAAATTGGCCAGGTGCGGTGGCTTATGCCTATAATCCCAGCCCTTTGGGAGGCCAAGGCAGGTGGATTACTTGGGCCCAGGAATTCCAGATGAGCCTAGGCAACATGGTGAAACCCTACTTTATAAAAAATACAAAAATTAGCCAGGCCTGGTGGCATGCCCCTGTGGTCCCAGCTACTCAGGAGGCTGAGGTGGAGGACTGCTTGAGCCCAGGAGGCGAAGGCTGCAGTGAACCGTGATCAC